AGCCCTAAAATTAGGTTGTTGAAAGCATATTTCTTGGAATATCTCGAGAACTAAAGAGTATAAAAAAAAACATCTTTTTCATCCAAATATGTTTTGTTTTATCCTAATTATCTATGATTAAAAAAAATGAAAGTAATTAAATTAAAAAATAAACAAAAACTCTGTTGCTGCCTTTCAGAATAACGAAAAAAGGGGAATGACGTGTTCACGATCGGTCTCCTCGAGGGTTCATTTTCACCATCATAATTAACATAATTCGTTAAATAGAACATTTTAACCAACGAGGACAGAATATGGGTGTCACTAGAAAAACGTAGAAACCACAATTCAGCGGATCCCGTTCGACCGCACGCGATGCTAATTGTTTCTAAAGTGTACGTGGACTATGCGTACCGTAATTGGCCCGGGACGGGAAGAGCCTGTGTGTTTGGTAATTTGCACCGGTTTCGATTCCCCTTTATAGGGAATAGGGATCGTTCGTCGAACCGAGGCCACTCAGGGTTAGGTGAGCCGACACCGGTCGAAGGATCGCGTTTAAAGCTGGCCCGGGCCACATGGAAATTCGTACATCGGCCTCGCGTGAATCGGTATTATTGGGTCTCGTGTCATTTGCGGTTTCAGGACACCAAGGTAGGGGGGCAGGGCACGTTACAAATTGAGTTCCACGACGTAAATTCCCCAAAAGGGGCCGAAAAAGCCCGCTAAATGTCTGATCGAGACGCGAAACAAAAGCAACTGGCTGGCATTCAGGGTGGAAGAAAGGGACGGGGGACTAGATTAATGTTATTATTCCATTACTTTCGCGTCGAGTTCACGATTCACTTCCGTGCAAAAGTAATTTTGACTGGTTGTTGGTTCTGCAGGTTTATGAGTTATAGGCTTGCTAGGAAGATTGTTATTTTATTTACTGCCGTTGACACATGTCTCGTTGTGCAATTTGTTGAATTATTCTGCAAGTAAAAAGAAAGAATTTTGTTTGAGTTTACGTTTTCAAGAAACTCGAATTTGAAAATGAATCAAACAGAAATTCATGTACCCTATTAGAATATTTATCAGATTCCAAAGGAATTATAGAATCCGTTAAACTCTATGAAACTTTCAACTGCACTGGACTTTACATATCCGTGTGTAGTATGAATGCATAAAATTTATAGTCTAGTTACTGCAGGGTGTCATGTAAATGGTGGTACAACTGGACAGGAGGTGATTCTACGTGAAAAAATAAGTCGAAACTGTAGAATAACATTTTTTTATTCGAGACTTTGTTTTCGAGAAAATTGACTTTGAAGATTCATCTGAAACGCGTGTATTCGGTCGTGATAGTAAGTAGAAACGGAATGGAATGAGCAGACGCGCTAGCCAAGTCCTATTCAATTGGACGCGTACGGAGCAGATTTTCAAATTCGATTATCTCGAAAATGAAGTCTTAAATGGAAAAATATTATCCTTTCTTTTCGACTTATTTTTGCATGCAGAATCACTAAGCGATTGATTTTAAACTTATGAATATCATAAGTGATTCTAGAATTTTTAGTGGCAGTGTATCTCCATGTAAATTGAATTACCGGTTGCTTTCATCCCCGTAACATGAATATGGATGGCTATACAAAAAAAAATACGTGTCGAATATACTCCGGTTGTCTACCTGCCTGTCAAATTTGATGAAATTTCGCCCATGTCAGTTGGGCGACATCTCTTGTGAGTTAGAACATACCTTCGTCACTGAATTGGTTTTGTTATTTTATTACGTGTTTCAATCGAGGAACACTTTGCACTTTCTGAGTTCAACTTTAGGTCCGAATATACCATAAATGCCATTTCAATTAAAAATATGGAAACGGGGATTCTAACGTTGTTAAGTTTAATTTAATTTAATTGAACAAGAGTTTCCAATGTGAATGGAATCTAAACTAAAATGTGAATATCATCATTGACTTTAATGAAATATAACAAAAATTATAACAGTGAACAGTCTTAAGGATATGGCCATTAAGAATTAACACTAGAACTATCAAGCGAGTCAGAATGACTTATCAAGACACTCTTACAACGATGATTAAAATGTTATGACAATACATTTTCTCAGATCTTTTGCACCTTTTATTACGATATGAAAGTGAAGAAATTAGTCAATTTCTAAATTTTAAAACTTTCGAAAGTTTTTCACGTTTATCCACCGATCGAAGCAAATATGTGTTAATGTCGGTAGTTCTAGTGTTAAAAATGGTAACGTTTTATATTAGGGAATAATCATATTTAAGGATTTGGAATGACAAATAAACGATTATAATTATAAGAAACCGATAGATATTTTACACCTAATACTAGACTATGGATGTTTATGAAAATTCACAATTTACACCGTAGTTTATAAAAATGCAAATTAGAGGACATTTATTTTCTTTCTTAGATGTTTCATTATACGAATAATAACATATAAATGTTACTAAACATTTTTAAGCTATTTTCGCGAGTAATGTTCACCAGTTGCTGCTCGTTTTTATATAATTAACAAAGCATAGTGTTTGCTAAGTATATAAAAAAATTGAAAAACTTTGGATATCTGAAAAGTACCAGTTGATATTCACTTGATTCCAGTGTCGCGTCATCGGCGACTAACAATTTGCACATACATAACGCACCTGTGTCGACGTCGATCGTCATAGTGTTAAAGTTAATTTACTTTACTACGTTTTGTATGTTAACCCTTATGGTATATACTGGGTTACAGCAACCCAATCCGTTTAAAAGACCCCTGGGATTTGTGAACGGTAAAGGGTAGGAAGTTAGGCTTCTGGTGTTTTATCAAAAGATTTGTGACTAAATAACTTAGAGTGAGTCACACGAGTATTCATACCCTCGCAGTTCTTGAGTCCGAACAATAAGTTTTTAACAATATATATATTCTGTAATGCTTATCAATAGGGATGTGTAGCGCATTAACTAAGCTTTCAGACGATGTGTCGTCTATTGAAAAGTAATAATTCATAGTAATGTAAATTAAAACTCAGGGTAATATAATAATATAGTAATATATTATATAAATTTATAGTAATATAAATGAAACGTACAAAAGTATTTGTATTAGTACTAGTGGTATCCTTGTGGAGTCGAAATATTTGTAAATATTTATAAATTTTTTAAATTATACGAATTTGAGTACTTTTATGACATTACATTTTCGATGATTCGCTTAAGTTCCCATTTACGTATATTACTATTTTCAATTAATGATACATCATTCGAAAGTTTATTTATTGCACAATATATCCTTATTGATAAACGTTTGAGAATGTACATTGTTAAAGAATATTAATCATTCAAATTCGAGAATTGTGAGGCTACGAATATTTCTGTGACTCACTGTACATACTTTTTCCCTATTGCCTTACGAATCGATTAAGAAAAAAACCTTAAAACCAGTGCATTACATCCTGAGATACAGGCAAAAGAATATTTTGGGTACCGCTAACCCACGTGTAGTCCAATCGGTGGGAGAATAATAATGTGGTCTCGGAGGGTTAAGAAACGTTATAAATACATAAATAAACTTAACCCATCCACTGCCCTAATATAACAATACAACCCAATATTCCCCAATGACTACACAATATCCAATCAATTCTCTCCTTTCTGTTACAGCAGAGTACGACTAAAGAAGAATACGAAGAAGACTGTTCATAAATGAAGCTAGAGGCTTAGAAGCAACGTCAAGGAATTGATCGATACCTAACTATATCCTCTAAACTACTCTATCCAAAGAAGATCCTCTTGGGAACTGCCAGACTGTCCGTCACAGAAACTACCAAAGCTCTTGCTCCAAAAAAAAAAAAAAAATACTCACTGTTAGTTCTCGCTAGATCATCGAAGTTTGCTAGTGTTCGATGAGTGGACTTCGCCGATGCTTCCCTCAACCGTAGTCGCTCTTGTGGACCGAAGCTCGTCGTGCATCGTGGGAAGGACGGTTGCGGTAGCTTCAGGGCCCGAGTACTTCCGAGCAACGCGGATGCTCGTTGCCGGCAACGCACGCGACCGAGAATGGAACTGATCGTCAGTCCGCAGCCAAACAGCGCGCTACCGCCGAGTTTCTACGAGTTCATGGTGAACCGTTTAATAATCGTTGCTTGGAACGCTAAGCCTCACCAGTCAAACGGGTTGTTTAGGACGTGGACGAAGACCGGGGAGACGAACAGCAAAGGGAGACAGTTTCGAATAACCCAGACAGAAAGGCTAGAAGAGAATCGAAGACAGAGTAACGAAGTGAACGCGAGAAAGTGCGTCAAGAAAGAAGAAGAAGAAGGTTCTTCGGAGCGAAACGTAGCAACGAATGGGTATAAAGAACTGTTGATCGAGATTCCTACAGAGGAAGTGGTAGCAGAAGATTCGAAGACGGCAAAGATCGAGGAGAAGCCAGAAGATAAGAAGGAAGCAAACGTGAAAAAGTGCACCGAGGTGAAGGAGGAAGAAGAAGGTTATTCGATAAAAAAGGTAGCAGAAGATTGGTCTAAAGGACTACTGATCAAGATTCCTAAGGGGGAAGCAATCGCAGAAGCTTCGAAGGCTAAAATCGCAGAATCGTTGAAGGTTAAAATCGAGGCAGCACACTGTGAAGAGACAAGCAAAGAATCCACGGGAAGAGCAGAGGAAAAGGGTCGTCCCTTAGCAGGAGGGCTCCACAGATGCGGGGCCCGGAGGGGCCAGTCCGCGGCGGCGTGACGCGATGCGGACGTCCTCCTCCTCGTCTCCGAGGAAGAGGAAGAGGAAATACCTCTCGCCTCTCGATCTTGCCGAAAGTCTGTCTCCCCTGGGCAATTGTTTCGGCGGATTCTCTATCCTTCAGGATGACTGGCGTGTCAGCCCTAACAGACACCTATCAAAGCACCGGAGAATATGTTCTCTGCAGAAAGGATCTGTTCGCCAGAAACGCGACAGTGGGCCTGTCGAAGCTGATTTCTCGTGGTACGATGACGAAGAAGGATCGCGTGATCGTGGTGACGGGAGCTACGCGGGGAAAGTGGACGTTGCATGCCTGGAAAGTGGGATGTCAAGGTGCGCTGGAGGAAAATGGGGACAGGAAAGAGCTGTTGAACGTAGGGAGAACAGCTCGTGGAAGTGTCTGGCGACGTTTATCGTGTTCCTCGGAATTCTGTGCGGACATTGGTGTACAGGTGCAGCGGAGGCTCTCGCTGGCAGCCAGAAGTACAGCACTAGGACGGTCAGAACCAGATACGGGACACTACGGGGCGTCGAAGCCAGGTCCTCGACGTCCGTCGAGACGTACTACGGTGTCCCGTACGCGACACCGCCAGTCGGAGCGTTGCGATACATGCCGCCGGTCACACCGACCCCGTGGCGAGGCACAAAACTGGCGGACACCATGCCACCTGCATGCCCCCAGAAACCACCCGACCCGGACGCCAGTCTGCCGAAGACTAGACGCGCCTACCTGGAGAGGCTAGCCCCGATGCTGGCCAACCAGAGCGAAGACTGCCTGTATTTGAACCTGTACGTGCCCAAACACCCTCACGGTGAGTTATTCTGATCTTTCCTATACCTTATCCAATGAGTCAAGTCAGTGACTATCGAGAAAGGAAGGCGATGACCATATAGATGGGACAGAGGCAGCTGGTTACCAATAGCTGGGCTCAGTACGCGAACGTTTTGGTTGTTTCTATTGACTCGTCTCGGTAGATGGATTGTTGGCCCCTTTTTTTCGTGGTGTTTGGTGTTCGGGGGTGTGTTTCGTATTTATGTATTGTTCGTATGTTGATTTTGTACTGTTTTTGATTTTTGGAAATTTTTGAGTTCTTAGGTATGATGGAAAACGTTTTAGGATTATAGAATTTTTTGCAGTAAGTTACGATAATAACAGTAACATAAAATGAGTGATATAATATTGGAGATATGGAATGTGTAGACTGTGCGGATTTATGCATTTTCTGAACTGGAACATACAGTAAAATAACGATTTTAGTGGATTTTAGTACTATTTATGTAGTGTTATTCACCCGTTAATGGCTAGACCCGTAAATCGTTTTTTCAAAATTATGAGACTAATACATGTGCTCTATCTTGTTATTTTGAAGTGAAAAATATCGATTTTAAACCGATCTATTTTTTAATATTTCTTCACATCAATTTTAAAATGAATATTGCACGGTTAACAACACTGAGTGTTGGGAGGTTAACGTAATAAAATCTTTAGAACGCGAAATAATGTTCTCACCAATTTTGTATGTTGAATGTTAGTAGCAGAAATACTACATTTTCATAAACTTATGCAGTTTAGTAATGTGATTTGTTCTTTCATGCTTGTTTAAACATGATTGGTAAATACAATACATATTAATGATGATATGAATAGATTAATATATTTCACGAATAATTTTATTTCATACAAAGGCAAATTATTTGGATGCGTTAAATTCTCCTGTTTTGAATAGAGGTATTTCACCTCACAGTATAAATGTTATTAATCGAAATAAAGGCCAATAGAATCTCCACGTTTTGCCAACGGGGGATATAAATCGGTTTTCATTCAAATTAAACATTAAAATAGAAGCGGGTAATCTAGGGAATTCTAAATATGAAATTTAAAGTTACATTGCAGAATTGGATATTGTAACGAGCAAATTGTACGAAAATATATGCAGTTAAGGTGCCTGTACAGAAAATGATTTGCAAAGTTCTATTAAATGATATTTGTTTCATTGACAGAAGAAGGAAAACAGTATTCTTTCTAGAGTCTAAATAATAAAGTGATCCAGAATGAAATCATTTGTTCCGTAAAATGAATTAATGTGAAATAACTGGAAAATTACTGTAGATTTAATTAAATAATAAACAAAATATTCTTAGTCGAACGGAACATGTAATTAATAGTTTTTATATTTGTCATGTCTTATGATGGTTTCCTTCAACGAGCATGAAACGTGAGAATTAAAGTACAAAGTATCACAGTATGTAAAAACATTTTAGCATCCTCTTGTTGTATAATGTAGTCATTCTTCAGAAACTACGGAAATAATCCTTGTTAGAAAGTCTATTGTTCACTCGTCACAATTATTCGCTTGAAATCTCGTGCAACCCAGGATTTAATGGAGAAACATTTCCTTATCGGCCATGAACTTGCACGTTAAATGGCGGATACACAACGGTTTGAACAACTTAGCACGGCAACGAAACTGCTACTTTGCACGCGAAACGTGAGGTGGAGTTTTATGAATAACAAATTGTTCTATAGCAAACAGATCGGCGTCACGATACCTTTCGTCGCTTTTGTCGTATGACTGTGTGTCGTTTAACCAGTTATGCAACTAATACTTTATTCGTAATGTTTATTTAATCAATAAGAAAAAGTATGATGCGTCTTATTTGGCAGTGAATGATAACAATATGCCACTTTCAATAACGTAAGAATTATGTAGTCACTAAATGTAGGAATTCATAAATATATCGATTAAATGTGTAAGATTGGGAATAATAATTTCCATTATTCATATTTCTCATAATATAATATTAGATGAGTGGAAAACAAGTGGTCGATCACCATTAATGTTTCCAGTGATAGATCAGAATGTTGTTCACTACAGTTAATTTTGTTTCTTCGAACTCTTATCTTGACTGCATTCTAAGAAGAAGTAAATATACTCGATATATTCTCCAATTATTTTTGACATCCTCGTCTTATTAAACGGTCATAGATTTCCCATGAAACAAATATAAATGAAGAACAGTTCATATTGTAGGTACAATACTTATCAGACCCAGAATAACCCTGTTCTACGTGTCTGGCCAGGAATAAAGCTATTCTACTTACCTGACTTAAGATTGTCCCCATTCTACTTGTCTGAAGAAGAATGCCCTATTCTACTTACTGGAGCAAAGATGGATCCTGTTCTGCCTGTCTAACAAGCTATGACGCTGCTCAACTTGTTTAACGAGCAACGATCGTACCCTACACGTTGAACAATCATTGACCTTATTTTACGTGGGTGATCGAAGATTGTGATCGTGATAAAAATTGGCCCTATTCTGCTTTTCTGTCGATGAAGGGCCCATATTCTATTTATCTGTAGAGAAATGGCCTTATTATACTTATTGGATCGAATATAATCCTTCTCTACTTGTCGGACTAAATCTTGACCCTAGTCTACTTGTCTGACCAGATATGGACCCTAGTCTACTTATATGAGCAGATTTGTCCCTAGTCTACTTGTCTGACCAGATATTGACCCTAATCTGCTTCTGTGGCCGGCAATTGACCCTATTCTACTTGCCTGACCAGATGTTGACCCCAATCTACTTATCTCAACAGATATGGTCTCTATTCTCCTATTCTAACTATACGTATACAGTCACTATTCGGTTTGTGAAATTAGATACGGTTCCTATTCTGTTTGGCTGATTATTCGTGGACAATGTGATGTTTGTCTGACCGAAGACGAACCTTATGCTACTTATCTATCCACGGATGGCATACAGGGTGTCCCAGTATTGTTGGTATAATCGGAAGGGGGTGATTTTACATGAGAAAATAAGTCGAAAATTTAGAATAAAATTTTAGCATCCGAGGTTTAGTTTTCGAGAAAATCGAATTTGAAGATTCATCTGTAACGCGTATATTCATGATCGTAAGCAGAAATGGAATGCAGTAAACAGACGAGTCAAGTCTGATTCAATTGTATGCGTATTCAGTAGATTTACAAAGTTGATTTTCTTCAGAACAAAGTCTGAAATGAAATAATTTTATTCCATATTTTCGGCTTATTTTCTCATGTAGAATTACCCCCAGTAATACTGGGTTTTATCATTAATACTGGGACATCCGGTATATTGGACACGTTCGTCTATATACGGTCATTATTCTACTCGTTCCACTTATTCTACTTGCTTTCTTTCGTTTGGCTATGAACAGGCACACTTGTCTTCGCTGTTTTTCTGTTGTATATTATAATAGCCAATCACCAAACATCAACGGCCTTGTCTGAAAATATTCCAATTCGCAAATACAACACGGTTAGTATCGGAACGCAGCAATATTCCGCTTGTTTCGTATCGATTACGTAAGTTCTCCCAACATAGTTGTCGACTTGAGTTTCGCAATTTCAACGATACGAATCGAAAATAAAAAAACGGTTTTCCGGTTCTGTCGCGTTGGATTCGCGAAATCGAATCACTCGACGTTAAATTTGACACGGAGATTAGAGGAGAATGGGAAACGCGATGACGGGAATTGCTTTTGCAAAACACAGGGCAATTTGTGCCTCTGTTTGCTTCGTGCGTTTACGAACTGCTTGATTCATCGCGTGGTAGATTGTTTTCAAACGTTTGGGAAATAATTCCAGTAAACAATTTTTAAATATTTCCAGTTTTAGCACGAATATACTATCGTTTGGCAGATTAGAGTTCTGTGAAGTTCGAAATTAGGATGTCAATTTTGGGATAACTCGTAACTGGCATTATTTCGAAGTTAAGGAAACTTAAATTGTTCATTTTGTAGTTTGTTATTATACAGTTCATAGTCAGCAGTGATCCTATATTAGTATTGTACTCTTTTTGAGTATCATATACTTGTAGAGAAAAAAAAAACTACTGTAACGTTGTCCACTTAAAATTAATAACTCATAAATATATCCTTACGTACCATTGTTGTATCTGCTTTATTCATTTTTTTCTTTTATAGTAAACGTCTGCATTAATTTATTTACAAATTACTTCCACATACTGTCGTTGTATTCCCAAATATTTGTGAACAAGACGGACAATGTGCTATTTATTGCATTTAGATGCAACAACGTATGATTTGTTGAAATTGAAATTCTGATTACATGTGACAGTAATTCTTTGTATATTCCTACCAATTCATCCCATTCTTCTGTATCATCCAAAGCCCAAAGTTAATAAAACTAATAGAATTTATTAACACCGTTAATTACAACCATTGATTAACACAGTTAATAAAAATTAAATAACAAAGTTAATAAAAATTGACTGACACAGTTAATAAAAATTAAATAACAAGTTTACTAAAAATTGACTGACAGTTAATAAAAATTAAATAACAAATTTACTAAAAATTAACAAACAAAGTTAATAACAATGTAAGTAACGAAGTTACTAAAATTTCTTGATGGCTATAATATTCTGAAAATTTCTAATTTCCAAGAAGAAATAAACACGACCGTGCCCGTGCTCTAAAGCAAAATTGAAACTTTCCAGAAATACGTCTCCAATTTCGTTGCACGTGCCGAAAACAATCCCATTCGTTCCTGAAATATTCTCTGCTCCACTGCATTTTCGAACTTTCTAATTTCCCCGAAGAAACACACATACTTTTGCGTCCTCGACGCGCACTGCAAGATTGCAAATTTCCGTAAATGCAGCTTCAGTTCCGCAAGCGAGCTTCCTCCGGAAACAGCCGAAATTCGCAAATGAGACTGTCCTGCGCCAGCGTCCACGTCCGTCCTTGGGTTTTATTACGTCATTCCATAAATAATACGATGTTTTTCGGTACGTATGTTAGCGA